CTCTAGTATCATTAGCCAGCCATAGAAGGATGTAGTATAAATCGGCCAATTTGATCAACTACACGCCAAACCATACGCCTTAATTTTCATGACAGATTTTGTTACGTCGCCTGATAACTGAGTTAGATCCATATCGGTGGGATTTAAATTGTACGTAATATGCCACTACTTTATTATAGTTAGTTTATTGACCACGTTTACATACATTAGTACATTTGAAGTCATAAATTTAGGTGGTAGATCTACAGTCACATCCTTTTAAATAATCGATATATTCATATATATACATATATTACACATTCAAATGTGACTAGGCCACACGGAAAAATAATACAGATCATTATCTAGCTGTAATTATATTACAAATAGAGAGTAAAACATTATAGAGTATGTTAAATGTTTCTATTGCTATATTGCAGTAAAGGCAAAATGCACGTAGTATTTTCATACCTATTTTTCAAAGAGGTTAGAAGCAACGAAAAAATATTTATATGTGAAGTTTTCAAATTGTTTTCGATTTTCCTAAACATCTCTTTTTTCATTTGGAACATGTTAGGAAGTTATTTCTGGCAGAGTTTTTGTTTTTTCTTATTATTGGGTATTTTGCCGCTTGTAAGAAAAGTTCATGAAAGAAATCCTTGCGCCAAAAGGATTATTTTTTATGAAAATAGTTTAGAGATAAAAGCAAAATAAATAATATCGTTAAAAAATATATAAACAGACCATAATTATTTCGTTGAGCGGTGAAAGATGTGTTCATCTCTGAACTTGGATGCTTGTTGACTACGAATACCAAAATAAATAAAAATAAAATAAACATCATATGAAACGAAAACAAATTGATTTTCAAAACTTCAAGATTTATAGAAGTGTTGTGGATTTTGTTTGGTCTTTTGCCTATAATCAATGTCCTTCAGCATATTAAGGGCATCATACACCCTCATGTTGGAATCGGATTGAGCGACGGTTCTTGGACGCTATATTTTTGCCTGCAATGCTGGAAGGTTAGTCGCCTCTAAGGGGATTCCCAGGATGCTCGGGTATCCCTCTTCACGTCAATCCCAACGGACGTTTGGAATAGATGAGGTCGATGCTGTCACTCTTCCGCCATTGATAACGACATGCTTGGCCTTGGGAAATGGTATACGCTTTTGGTTTGTTTGTTTTTGAAGGGTTTCAACGAAATCCTTACGTTTTTTTCATTTACAGTTGATTTTATGGAGCGCTGTCGAGTGTGATACTCTAGTGTCTCTGTTTCACTGTCTATACTCTATAGTGTGCTGGGCTAAGGCACTAAAGTTTATGAGTTTGATGTCTTTTCAAAGTATATTTAGGAGCTAGTGCATGACAGCTTTAAGAGCTGTGTGTATATAAGCTTTAGGAGCTGTGTCAGCTGTGCATCCCTCAGGATCTTCACTGCAAGGTGGACGAGCCTGAGTGGTGTATAAGAGCAAGGCGAACTTTGAGTTCGATTTTTATGGAGTCCGGAAATTTTCGAAACATGGGTGAAAAAACGTTTTCTCGCCCACCTACTGTTTCGGCGAGAATTGCGCCTTGTGTGATACCTTTTTGAGGGTTTGATAAAATTTTTCGAAACGTGAGTGAATTTCTTGTATTTGTCTGATTTGTTCAGTGTGAGATTTCTGATGAGACGAAACTATCTTAATAAAAAATAATCCTTGGCAGATCCTTTTGGCACAAGTTTTTTTTCATTAATTAAAAAAAAAGTTAATAGGTGGCAGAATACTCAATAAATGGGCGACATTTCTATTAGGTCAAAGTCTAATTAAAGAAAATCACTGATCCATTTCTATTTCTATTGTACCTACCAGGCGAAGGAAATTTAAGTACTTACTGCTCTATTAATTAAACAAAGATATATGTGCCACAAATGTCAGTAAACTAAAAACTAAAAGCAAACAAATCTACTGTATTCAAAGTCGCAAAACAATCACTTGTTGACTTAGTAGTACTCGAAAATCCGTCTAGTTTTTTGACAAATGCGTTTTTTGCATTCAAAATTATACTTCTGGAAGAGTATTTTTTGCAATGTCATGTGAAAACAAGATACAAATCTGGAATGTACGGTTTACTCTCGGATATTAGCTATGATAGATTTGATACATATTTATGTAATAAGTCTGATATTATTGAGAGTTAAACACACTGATTAAATCCGTGTGTGGCTAGCTACCCACTTTACGAACAGAGAATGTGTTTGATAAGATGCACAAACCTACACACCCCCACACAAATACGCATCATTACATCTAATACACGTCGAACTAAAGCCTCTGTATTGGAGAATGCAGAGTGCAGACCCACTACAATTCAGCGTATTGACGACAATGACAGACTACCATATAATAGCAAAAGGGAGCAGTGTGGCGAGGGGGCTCAACTCACTAGGCGACCCATAGTCTTCTGATAACTTTGAATATAAAAAATTTCGCTAAGAATGGCAAAATTCGGATTTGGAATTACTAGACTAAAATAAGACTATTATGGACTAAATATACCTTAAAACAATAATAACGGTTTGAGATATATACAGGGTGTCTCATAATTAGTATTCTATTGCCAAAAAATAAGAATATTTTTTCATTTCTCGACCCATGGTCATATGAAAAAATATTCTTATTTTTGGCAATAGAATCAAGCGGTAAGTTATTGGATACTAATTATGAGACATCCTGTATATAGTGCATAAAATTTTATTTTGGAAGTTCTCAATAATTTTGAAAGTTTTTATTAACTTAAAAATCGTTTAGTTTTACGTTTCTTTGACAAAACAAATAATAATTTCTTACTGATTTTGGCATAGCTCATAGGGGGTGTTCATTATTCTCTATGGATTAGGTAAACCAGGGAAATCTTTTTTCCCTTTATAATTCTTATAAAAACGAGTGATAATTCCGAAAGAGAATCTCCAGAAATTCGATGCCACTGGATATTCGAGATATTCGATCGGTGTTTTCAATTCCTAAGGGTTTCTGAAAAAAACACTATTTTTAAGATACTACTTTCTTTTATTTATAATCACTCAATAATTAATTGAATTTAAAATAAAATGTAATAATGAAAATGCAAAAAAAAATAATTGATGTTGCGTTTTAGTAGAGGTGAAAGGTAATAATGACACTGTTGAGAATTCGAAATTCATGGAATTTTGGAAATTTTCATTTTTCGAAACTAATTAAGGAATTTGCACTCTAAGAACTTATAAAATGATTAATTTTGCAGTGGCTTCTTGACTTCCATAACAGAGAGGGCGGAAAAATTTAGATACAAAGTATTAAAAAAAAAAATCTAATATAATTGGGTAGATTATTTTAAGTAAGTACTATTGAAATAGGTATAAGGAAAATTTGCTCAACATTATTTTTTATAGTGAAGGTCCATACTTCTGCTTTTGTCCGAAATAAACTTTTCAATTACTGTTTGCTATTACCCTCACCACTGGTTTTTCAACAGATAGCACTGCAAGTGCTGTTAGTCTGTTTTACAATCTAATTTAAACTTTTATAATCTTTTAAAAAACACGCAAGAAACAATAATTATGTAGCTAAGAATATTTTACACCACATGTAAACAAATTACGTTTAATAAGAAAAAAATCAATAAATAGCTATTGTTTGGTGACGAGCTGACTAAACAGAGTCCAAGCTACATAGTATAAATATGCGTTACTGCCACTTCGTCATTCATTCCTGCGCGACGGCAACCATGACCACCGCTGTAAACACTTAACAGATTTAGGGACGAGCTGGAGAAGCCCACGTATTCTGTGTATTTCAAATGAATTTTGCAAGCAGAATTAAATTTACTGCACATTATAAATTTAACATTTCCTCTTTAATGCATTTTATAAGGCTAATTTATTTAATTATCTAGACAATATTGTAAACTAAACCTTAAATTATTTTTTTTACTACGACAATTGCTTGGAGAAGGTTAGGCGCCCCAGAACCCCTCGCACCAGCCGACACTGACAATTTGATAAGTATAGAATTGTTGAATATCTGCATATTTTTTTCAAGGCTAAATTCGATTTTGTTGCACCTGATTTGGGTAAGTTTCGCACTCAATATGTTCACTAAGGCTAAAAATTTTACTCTTCCTTTTTTTTTGCTATACAACAGATACTATCAGCATTTTCAGATGGTCCAGATACAGAGTTGGAGACTTCTAAATTCATTTCTGAAGACTTTTTTTAGCTAAATTTTGAGTGGAAGGAAACGTGTCCTTTTTTTTCATAGAATGATATCTACTTTATGTTCCAGATATAATCCAAAACAAAATTTGAATTCCTCCGCCCGATTTACTAGGATTCAAAGAATAGGTTACTATTTTATGGTACATACATTAACTTCTACTTATGATATAAAAATTTTTATAGCTAAAGTAGAGAAAAACGGATATTGCTAGCGGAAAAAAATATATGCTATTTCTATTTAGATTTTGGACACTTCTCATATACTTAATGACATTTTTTCCTTAATTTTCACGGAATACAAGATCATGAAAATGTTGACAAAAAAGGCCCTCAAATTCATTTCTAATATCAGTTTATGTTAAAGTTTGGGAAAATACATTGTTAACACCATATTATATAAGACTATAGTATTACGATTGCCACTATTCAGTACTACTATTACCAGTACCCTTATTCCAGTACTGCGCTATAAATTGAATTTTGTGTCATAATGAGAATCATTTACACGAGGTTCGCAGTGAATAAAGTAGTAGGTACTAGCTTTCGTATTTTAAAATCATCGATAATTGGAAAGGCAAATCACTAAATTGAAACTAAAGTTTCTGATGTTTCAAGCTGTTATCGTTAAAGTGTTCCGAGACATAAAAAAACAAAATGGAGCTTCAGGGCGCTAAAATTTTCAAACAGTCCTACAAGAGACGTGAGGGAAAACATGCGCCGCGACGCCGAAACCAGCTGACGTATTGATCTACCGGCAGGAGTGCGCCACCTGAAAAACAAAAACAAACGCGGCCTAAATTCCGAAATAACAATTGCAGTCGCAAAACTATTAACCCGATTTTGTAAAATGATCGATTGTTCAGCAGCTCAGCAAATCGGGCACACTTTAAAACATAAACCGTGCGATCGAAATAGTTTCTCGTCGTGAATTGTGCGTTTGTTGTGCTCTGCCGGCGTTAGAAACTGAAACCTCGGTCTCCCATTTAAAATTCAGCGTGGCGTTGAAATTAATCGCAAAGGCCTTCCTCCTCCTGAAACAGAAAATGTCATACAAATCCACCAATGGCATCAAGATGACAAAGTGCGACTCCCAGCAGTGGAAAACCAACTCCATCCACGAGACATCGGTCAAATTCGCTGGAGAAGAGGCCAAGGATAGGCTCTACGAGCCCAAACACAAAAAAAAATTAGTGCGCGTCTTGACGGTGGTAGCTTACGTGTTTTTCGTTTCCCTAGCGGCGATTATGTTGTCTCTCTATTACGTGTTCCTGTGGAACGGAGATCAAAAAATTGCCGCTAAATACGTAATTTCCCAGCCCAAACAGCAACGGCAATATTTGAGCAATAAATGTAACAGTATTTTAGCAGGTAAATGGATCTGCATTTACTTTAATTTCTCCAACAGAGAATCTTATTTATATTCGCAAAGAATAAAAAAATGTGTGGATGTGTAGCCGTATTCTCTGCTGGAAAGCAATTTGCTATTTTTATCCGAGAGGCAGAAAAGCCTGCAACTATGAAAATGTTGCATGTATTGGTGATTTCCTTAAACATGAGCGTCCGCATGGGACACAGAGAGGAACACTTGCCCTCCTAAAACAGAAAATTTCATTGTCTTTTTTATTGGTTTTTATAGTTTAAGCCCTACGAATGTACATATCTTTGTCCCTCTGGTAAATTTCCTGCGGACGCCCATGTCTTCAAAAGAGTTTCTTAACATATTGTTGTTTCCATAATATAGCTACTTAATACATTTTTTTAACATACCTAATTAATTATTTGTATTTTGTTTTTATTTATTGATACTTCATTAGGTAGTCATAATTTTCTTTTGCTGTTTTTTATTCATTGACGAACATAATATTTTCTTTTAAGATAGGTAATTTATAGTTTTGTTTGTATTTCTCTTCTTTTGCTATTTTGTGTTTTAAGTACACATATTTTGTATTTATCCATCTTATTGATTTATTTTCCATTGCATAAAATAAATAAATAAAACTATTACCAAATTACTAGGCCTTTCTCGTATCAGTTCTATATCTATAAACATTTTTGATAATTAGTTGTAATTGATTACTTCCTAATTTGACGAAATTGTAAATTTTCAATAAAATTAAGTAGCTGCATTATAATTTTTTCTTTTTCAACACTAAACAATTTGTATGTAACTATTATCGTATACAGAATGTCCCAAAAAAATTAGGTCACACTCTCCTGGGTTCAAAATAAGATGAGTTAGGTCAACTTACCTGTATACTAAAATCAATGCTTACTGAAATATAGCCTGTTGCATGTGGTATCGAGTAACAATATTTTTTAATATCATTCTAAAACCATATTCGCTCGAGACTTTTTAATTGTTTTAACACTCTTTGCTATTTGAATTTATTTCAATATGTACCTAGCAAAATAATATACAGGGTGTTTTTTATTTCCCCACCCCTTTGATAATTCCATATTTAACTATGCATATTTTATATTCTAAAATTGTTGGCTAAAGAATTTCCGTCTGTCGTGAAATTTTGATGTGTATTATGAGTAAGAAAGATAAAAATAACACCCTGTACATTATTTTCTTGCATATTCAAAAAATATACTGCACCCTTTTAAGGAAAGAAGAAGTCTCTAGCTATAATTGCTTTATACCTTTATAATTATATGAAAGGATGGTTTGTTGAATCATGTTTCAAATTTTAAGGGATATCCCAAATGTTTAATAAGTTTCTTATTTTCAGAATTGCAACAGCAAATAACAGCAATAGAATCTGAGGAGCTAACAGTTTCTTCCACAATTCCAACAACTTCAGAAGAGAGCGTGACATGGCTAGATGATTATGAGGAATTTGAAAGACCGACAGGCATTTTCTTAAGAAAAATAATTGGTAGATATGATTACTGAAGACTCTTAAAGAAACAGATATTAGAATTAATGGAATAGCCGCAGGGTACTTTCCTATGAAAGTCTGGCAGTAATCGACAAAAAAATATGTGTATGATTGATATTCTCTCTTAGTATTTAAATTTCTCATCAATATTGTGATTCTGGTATTTTTAATTTATTCTGAAGTACCCACAACATTGTGTTCCTTTAGATTTTCTTAATTAAACTATTAATAAGTATCCTTATCTTTCTTTTCTTCCTATCCAACCTTAATTTCTTTTTTGTAAACCTAATTTAAAATTATAGCTTGGAACCTTTTGAAAATATATTAGACACACCAAATAATATTTATATTTATTATCTGCATATAAATCTTGAGATTTTAGACTAATGTTTTTTACATAAATACTCAAAAATTAGTTTCTTAAAAAAAATTATTAAGCAGAATATGTACAGCTGCATATTAATTTTATATAATTTCATAATTTCATATACAAAACAAATTATAGATTTTACTAAAAATGCTAAATTAGTCACCTCCCGTAACCATTAGATGAACTTTTCTGTCTGACTGGGACATTTTAGCCGCTCTTTCAGTACTTACTACACCAGACAACTGGTGAACATCATACTTTGAATAAATGACGGTAACAGTCATATTTGACATGCTTCCAATCTTCCTATTCACATTAGCCTCCTAAAAAAATATTTTAATATAAACAAATAATGATCTTTTAGAAAAAATAAATAAATAGTAAAGTAACTGTAAAAATATTTATTAAAAAACACGTAAATTCTGAAATTTTACCTGCATCAAATTGCACATCTCGTAATAGAAATGTGGAAATATAGGGAGCTGGTAGAATACAAGATGTCGTATCCCTTTAATACGTTTTCTATTGAAAAAGTGATATCTCTCGGTGTATAATAAAAAATGTGCATCTCCATGATAAAACATATCCCTTGCTCTGGCAACTTTACCTTCCTAAATAAAGACATTTTTTAACATTAAGAGATGCATTTGTATGTATAATATTATAGTGAATATAAAAAGACATAAGTCGAACAAAACAGTTTTTTCAATAAATCTTGATAATTACCTTTGAATATTCACATATTTGAACAAATCCAATATCTTCCTTCTTGAAGTAATTTCTCACTCTCACATAATCAAAATAATTTGGAATAAAAATTAAAGTTTGCTTCATCAACCCCTCCCTTTGCTGTGGCAATACTTTATTTATAAAAAAGTTAAATCTGGCATCTATAGCGTCAGTGGCATTCTGAGCGTCAAACCTTTGGAAAACATGTGGAATTTGAACAAACACCTGAGTTATAGAGCCAAATTCAATCGGATTTATCACTTTAACTTTTCCTGCGTAGTTTAAACATTTCCTATTAAAAATTGCGTTTATCTCTGGTAGCACAAAGGAAGAAAAAATCAATGTCTGTCTGTAGTACTTTGCCCAACCATTCAAACTCCACGTTCGCACTCTAGAGAAATCGGTATTGTGGGATTCTTTAGGCTGTAGATGCATGTGACTCAGAATGTGTACAACGTGATCCCAGTTCTGCATGAAAAATATTTCTGTCTGATCTAATATTAATAATTCTATCGATGCCAAGAAGTCATAGTCACGTTCTTGTTCTCCTTCAGCCCCTATCACTGTCCTGAGTCCCAAAGGAGATGCTATGATTATGTCTGAAGAGTAAAAATTAGCATAAAGCTACAAACAAAAAATATTAATATTTGCTAATGCATACATAAAAACAAGTGAATACTTTCATATTCTGTTCAGTGAGATAAACCTACATAAAAAAAAATTAAGTAAATACCTTCAAGCTCTTCTTTGTTACAGTTATCCCTAATTTAAAATCATCACTAGTATTTCCCTTAAAAGTGTGTTCGTAGTCTTCAGGTTTGGGGTTCTTTTTTGGCAAGATAAGTTCATTGCCTGTGTAATCTTCGATAAATCGTTTTTTATTCATCACACTGCCTCTGTCTTTAGGTAGGATAATATCTATTATTAACTGAATAATTTTATAAGCTGCATCTTTAAATGGTACAATAAATAGAACCTGAAAAGTGAAATAATACATTACAGCAGCAATGCAAGCAATATTCTTTATAAAATTTAGTTTTCTTACCTTTGGTCTTACTAAACCTTGATCTCGAAATTGTTCTGGAACTTCATCTTTTTTAGACAATCTGGCATTATGATGAATTACTTTGAGACGAGTTTTCAGTATATGATTAACTGCATGTAAACAATAAGTATATCTTATTTCTTCAGCATTATGAACTGTTCGTTCAGGATAATATAAATCCTGATAATTATTTATAATGGCAAAAATTTCTCCTTGCAGAGGTGTAAACATGTCTTTAGGATTTAATACATTATTTTTGTTAGATGTATGTAAGTTATTCCATATTTGACTTTTTAAATATAAATCTTGTGGTTTTATATGTTTTACATCAACCTCTTTAGGTACTTCTCCAGGGGGAGCATAATCTTTTTTCTCAGAAATACTAAATTCATTCTGTTCATTGATAACTTTATCACATTTTGGAATTTGTAAAAAAATTTTTCCCAGTTTAGGCCAAAATTTACTGTAATGATTAACAGACATTGGACTGTTTTGTACTGATTCTAAAAGGCTATCATGTAAATCAAATCCGACATGTTTTACAAAAGGATCTTTTAAATTTTCGTTATCACCATCCTCATCCTGTATTTCTAGGTCAATCTCCTCAGCATCTTCAATGTCATTTTCCACTTCTTCAGATTTCTCCTCAGAATTCTCTTTCTCTGGCACTCCTACATCTTCTCTACCAATTGAATCATTAGGAACAACTTTTTTTTCTTCATCTAATTCAATATCTTCACTCTCACTTGCAGAGGTTCCTAAATCATCTTCAGATTTTTTTTCAGGAACATCAATATTTGCATCATCGTCCTCATCTGTTCCACTTTCACTGCTTTCAATCGCTAAAGAGTTTTTATTATTTAAATCACTGCCAAAAGTATTAAGAAGTTTTTTCATATCATTTTCAGAATCTGATTCGCTATATGAACTATCAACCACAGGCTCTTCAATTTTCTGCTTTTTAGTTTCAATTTCACTTGTAATATTGCCTTTAAATTTTCGTTTGTAGGTGTTTCTATTATCACTTTTTTGTAAACCGGTTTTTTTTCGAGGTTTAAGCTTCTTACTTTGGTGTTTAATATTTTTCCTGTGTCCAGTTTGTTTTCCCACAACATCTTTATATTTTAATTTACCTCGAGCCATTTATAATGTAACAAAATCTTAAAACTACTTAATTCTTACGATAACTGATATTGCGAGAACTTTTTTACTTTCAAATATAGATTTCAATGAGATTAACATTTAACCTCATTTTTATTGTTTAAATTCTGAGGTTATGTCACTTTTTGTTGACTATCGTGAAGTTAGCTTTGTTCACATTTGATATGCATACATATGCTACTACGTCAACAAACACCAAAGTCACATTACCAAATCCATCATAAAAACAAGAAAATAGGGCGTCAAGTACTAAAGAATCAAAAGGAAAAGATTTTCTGCTAAAACATAGTATTAATTTATAAAGCAGGCGATATTATTTTGTAATTAAGTCTTGAATCAATCAAACAAACCGTTCTGATAACTTTGCTGCCATCTATGTCTATTTGAGGAAGGTATCACTTGTCCATCTTTATCAAAAATGTTATAGATGGCGCTGTATGTTCAACAGTCTATACAAAATGGTTTTCCAACTTTCAACGAATATTTTAAAATTAAAAGTTAAAATGAATGCTTCAAACTTCAAACTCTTTGTGCTATTGGTTTGAATACTGGTAAGTCAAAATTTGTTATTCAAAGAATAGTTCTATTAGTTTGTACTTTACAAAAGATTATGCCCTTGTCGCTTCTAAGGGTTAAGAGGACATAGATAGGATGTCCTAATATTATTTAAATTTATTGCTTTTAAATTAAATAAGTTTGTTGAGGCATATTTCATTTTTTCTGTGGCCAAGTTTTGAACAGGAAATTATGTTTCAATTAAAGACGGGTGTTACTTATTTCATTATATTAAAACATAAAAATATAAAACAATAAATGAGGTAATATGTATATATACCGATTTATTTTTTAACACTAACATATTACATGATATCACATGTTTATTTGCACACATTCAAGTGTTGTACGTAAATTTATTATTGACGTAACGTCGATGTGGGACGACAAGTATTTACTATATAATTCTAGGCTTTTGAAAATTCCCAGAATTATAAAAAGAATTCAACTAAATTTGTCGTTGTTTGAATTTTATATATAATTTTTCTTAAATTTACTTACAATCCATAATCACTTGGGAATTTTCAATTTCCTTAACATCTTGATTCAAAATCTTTTATTGCAACTTTATCAAAATATTTTAAATTTTCTGTGCACATATAATTTTCTTTTAGAATAGAGACACAGCTATTTTTTATAAAAAACAGTATTAGTATTGATTGCCATTATGATTCTTTATAAAATTTAACTATTGAATATGGAATAAAATTGCAATTTCAACAACTTAAAGTTCGTACCACAACAATTTCTTATTTCAATATCTTTACAGTATAACAGTATTAATTGTGCCCTCATATTGTTACTTGTTACAACTAAGTAAACATATGTTAAAAATAATAAATACAAACGTTCACATTGTCAAATTTATAGCCGTTAAAAAAACATATTTATATCTGAGCTTATTTTCGAAATAAAAATAGAAGTCTAATTACTGAATCATGTTCTAGAGGTGTAAATTTTGAGACTGAACCGAGATATACTTCAAGAATATCAAAAATTGACATTAGATATTTCAATTGTTGATATGCGTGTACCTCTACGTATTATGGAAAGTAAGCTCAAATGAGAAATTCATTTGAAAATTGAAATAATCTGTCATGGCAAGAAAAATAGCTTGTCTCATATCAAAAAATGATTATATGATACGCACTACAGTACAAATCACATAATAAAATTAAATTGGTATGAAACAGGCTCCTTTAAGGGTATTTAAACTATCTAGAGAACATGGTATACACTTACAAACGAAACTCGTTGCCACGGTCACCCAAGAAGTGCTTGGGACGGTTTTTCAACATTTTTAAGTAATCATTTAAGTTTTACAGATTCTTTTTTAATACTGGCTTATACTTCTTAGTTGATGTGACAATGAGGAGACTAGACTTTTGCTCCCAGCTAGTGAAATTTCTCCATTAGATATTAAAATTATATAAAAAAATATTAAATTTTGGAGGTGAAATATTTATGCTACGGTAACTTGTTTAAAAAAAATGTATAACATGTCGCGTACTAATGGCTATTAGAATATCTGGTGATGTTCCATATTTGATTTATCGATATGTGACATCTAAGTACAAGAGCGACAAGTTTCGACATGTTAAGTATTTTTATGCCTGAATTGAATATTTTTGTAAAATACTTTTATAACCGTTTGTTGCAAATTGCAAAACTATTCGAATGGCTGAAATTTAGCTTTCACATTCTAACCATGGTAATTTGTAGACATAGTTTATTTTTTATTTGAAAATATATTTATCCATTTATTGGAATTCTGTGGATAAGTAAATTATTTTCAGTGATATTGAAGCGGCATAACGGCAAAAATTAAAGTGGTCACATTTTAATTATGAAATGTGGGACCTCAACTTGTTTTTAAGAGATGATTTTTAGACCTACATAGAGAATTTTTTTTATGAAAAAATTTCGAACAAACAGTTCTAAGCTAATCAATCAATCCTGAGATATTGATAAGGTTTGGACATATACATACAAAATATTTTGTCACAATCACCTGATTTATTTTGTTCTATGTATTTTTTTTATGTTAGGTATATCTATTTAAATTTTAATTCAAGTTTCATAATCCCGTAACCTAACTAAAAAAAAAGAAAATTTTGTATCTATCAGGTGATAAAAAGTACGGCACTTTTTAAGATCTCAGAAACAGCCACCCATGTTTAAATATTTTATTTTGCAAGTTTCATTTGAAATATTTTCATCGGTCTCTATGTGGGCCTAAAAATCGTATAAATACTTCATTCTCAAAATAAGACCACTTTAGTTTTCATCGGTCATCATTACTGATCATTAGAATAAATTTTAATCAAAGCAAAAACAGGTATTCCTAATATTTTGAAACTAAAGGAATGGATGAACTTCGGTTATACCAGTTTTTTAAATAAATCGTAGGTATTTAATACAGGTACTTATTCAAATCAATGAATATGTAAAAAGTAAAATGCAAATCTGCATTTTTAAAAATTTTGTTAATATTGTTTAAAATAGAAAGAATTAACTTGGATTGAAAGATACATTAAAGTAATAGCTAGTTTATTCTACTTGATTACTGATGAAAAATTATAATAGTATTTGTACAGCTTGGGAGTCATCTGTTTTTTTTTTTGTGTAGAACCATATTGCCAATTCAGTAATAATTCACACAATTTAAAATATATGTTATAACATATATATTAAATATTTACAAATATAGACCTAATTAGAATAAGTTTTCTCTTATATACATTATTCACAATTTACTATATATACAAGTTTATGTACAAAGGAATGCCCAAAACGGGTCTATAACACCAAATAATATCATTTTGAAAAAATTATATATATATTTAAACTCTTCTTGAGCCTCACAGCATAGCATACGATAGCACAATCGTAAAAAATAAATTTAATTTAAAAGTTACCAACATCCCATATATTAAATAATTAAGGAATAGCAAGAATTAAGTCAAAAATCAGTCTATAAGTTTATTTGATAAATAAATCATCTTTGAAAGTAAAATTAAAAGTTCATTTGCTGGTCAATTTCTTATTGCTTGCCAATTTCTTGACAGTTGTGAAACATTTGAAAATTCGAGTTTGTTACTATGCTGTGTGATAATTGAGCGATGGAGATCAAATAGTTGTGAAAATTGCCATGACCCCAAAAAAAGGGTCGTCTCATCATCTAAGTACTCAGTCCAATCGCTATGCAAAAATATATTAAGACATAAAAAATAAAAATATAGTCAACAATTAGCTGCACAATTCCTGTACTGCAGTTTTAATGTCTTTTAACTAAGTGAATCACAACCTGAGTAAAACGATTTGCAGCATCTTATTGCTACGTGCCCCCCACTAACACATGCATAAAACCATCCCACTCGTTCATATTGTCAGTCCGTGACGTGGATGGTTCTTTCCACTCCGACTGGTCGCTGAGACCTAGCTCGGCGTATAACTCGTTGTTGTTCAGCGACTCTAGGTCGGTTTGCGAAGTGAGACTGAGAACGGAACCCCAATTGATAGGCCTAGTCATTTCGTCCTCCCCCAACCCTGAATCGGTATCGGGCGCTGTCGATGGGAAAGGTGTCGCTCTCCCTGAGCAGTTCATATCCCTTAGGCTTTGTTCGTAGCTGGTTTCAGGCACGGGGTTCGGTCTGTATGGTGGGGACATCTCAGGTAACGCGGGATAACTTGGTTCGGGCGGCTCGGACTCCATCTCTCGTTCGAGCCTCCGGAGGGTGTTACAAATTAGCACGGATCTACGCAAGGATGGGTCCGAACATTGTCTGTACCTTGCGAGTTTGCACATCGAAAGATTCAGAACTGCTAATCGTCTCTGGCGATAACAGGGTACGTGGCACCAACGCGTTCTGCCGTCACAACACCGTGTCCGCACCGGTGGCGAAGCCCCCAGTTCTAAATATGACTTCCCATTTTCTTCGCAGCGTATTGTTTGCTGCTGAGGTGGTTGATAGTACTGCCAGTAGTCGTTCTGATGATACCTGGAACAAAACAATTGTTAAGATTTTAGTATATATATATGTAATGTTATTATTATAGTTCAGATATGCCACTATTATATGTATATGACACTGTATTATGGTTTAGTTAAACTGATTTTGATGAATACGGAAGTACACTTAGTGACCTTCTCTTACATTTAAGGAAACACAGTGGAATATGGGCAAATTTTACAGAAGAAACCAAACTTCATTCGATTTTCCGTTCAAAAATAAGAAAAAAGTGTCAAAATGCTTACTACAGCTATAGAGAGGCTGTAGTTATACTAGGAAGTAGTTTGGACTCATCACTTCCTTTTCTTTTTATTTTTGAGTGCTAAAATTTGACAGGGTTAACATTTAAAATAAAATTTGCAAGTACCCACAAAAAAGTGATGATTTTTGGTAGTGTTTTCGAAAGTAGTATCTTTGACAAAGAAATTGTTATTTCAGGCTACAATTTAACTGGATCTTTTTCCATAAAATAAAACAAGTTTTAATTAATTCTTATTGTTTGGTCACAGTATTATGCATCATTCTTGCTGGATTTTCGTTCTTTTTTTCTATTTCTATTCTTAGTTTCTGAACTTGTTAGTTACCTGTTGTATGGCTGCTGGGTGAACCTGGCAGGTTCCGGTATTCCAACGCACCGTTCCTCATCCGAGAGTTCATCCTCGAACTCGTCGTCGTCGAACTCGTCATCGGTGAGGAGCGTGGCGGCAAGGGAGGGCGTAGGCGCCCTCCACGTATCCGCCGGTACCGCCACTGCTTGCAACCTCGCTATGCAGTCGTCCGCCTCCCACCTGCCGTTCTTGGCCGGACTAGACTCTCCGGGAGCCGTTGCCGCCTCCAACTTTCTTTTTCCCGCTACTCCTGTAGTCGCCTGCAAACCCATCATGGCACAGTTCTGAAAAATAAATTAGAGTTGGTTAATTATCGAAAAAAATACGTAATTTGTGGAAGTTTAGGCATTAAAATTATATTTCTAGCGACTGTAAAGACAAATATCAATTCTATGATTCCGATGAGTTATAAATAATTCCAGTTTACAATTCGTTCGTACAGCAAGATATTTGCGTTAATGTTTCGTTCAGGCTATATCCAAAGTATTGTAGATTTACATTGACTAGCCACTATTATTGGCCATTGTTGATACTGCCAATTTATGTTGCCATGGCCATAGCTAGGATTTTTCTAGGGGTGGGAACAGGGCTGTAAGCTATATGTAGACTTCTAAAAAATAACACACGCGCTTCAAAACCTAAACACTTTCATTTGATTCTGAAATAAAAAAAGGTCACATAGCCAGCGACCTACCGATATAAAAATTTTCAAAACCTAAACAATTTTTGAAACTTGCTGCATGCAGCAGCAAAAATTAGGGAGGAGGGGGCGCCCCCCCCCTGTCTACGCCCATGTATATTGCGATTCTAAGGCTACTAGTAATAAGGTTAGGATTCTACCACTTTAATATTGTTTTATAAGGAATTCTCATAAAATATATTTAAAAAGCTGACTTTGTTTTATAAATATTGTATATAAACTACATAATTATGTATTATTGACGTATTCTATTGGCATACATACAGGGTGGTCCCGAGGTTGGGCCAAAATTGATGGGTAGATTCCCGAAGCAAAAATATTGCGATTTAACCGAATTTACCTTAGTCCAAAAGTTAATAGTTAAGAAGATACAGGATGTTAAATGTAAAATATTTTAGTTTTTTTCATTTATTTCTTATATAATAAATGCAAATATCCACACAAAATTTTTGGGTTTAGAGTTCTTTGGGCAGAGGATTTGTAATTTGTTTACATTTTGATTATAGCTCATAGAGGGCGCTAGCTGCCTTAGATTGAATGTGTTGAAAACGACATAACTTTTTTGTACTTTAATGTATCTCATCTTTGGTATCAAATTTTTATTTTCCAGCTTTTTTACACAAAAAAGGTATACTTTATGAAAGTAGCTGTCTCGCACCGTTTTCGAGATATGTAGCTTTGAAACTTCCAATGCTAATAGTTGAAATAATTAAAATGATTTAGAAATGTTAAAAACAAGGGTTTATTTAGAATTAAAAATTGTCATGAACAGTAAAATAGTAAACATTAGTAAAAAATATGCCTTTTTGACAATAATTGTTTAAAATGTCCACCTATAACTTCAAGAGGTACATTTATCAACTCGTTTATTAAAAGATTGTCTTATTTTAAAGTACATTTAAATCCTTAACGCAAAATGACTTTGCAGCTTTTAAAATCTGCTGCCAAAGTTCTTCCCAGGTGTTTATAGTTTATCCATAAACAACTAATTTCTATCTCACATTTACGTACATACAATTTAAATTGTAAGCTAAGATGTAATTTTAGTTAGGTACGAATAATACTGGAATAATGGAAAGTAGCATACAAATGACAGCAATAAGATAGGTAGAAAACGTCAATTATTTGATTTTCGTCCAAACTTAAGAAATTTTATCGCTAAATTAATAATAGCTACTTAATTGTAATTTAATTGGAAGTTTCAAAGCCAAATACATATCTAGAAAATGGTGCGAGACAGCTAGTTTCATAAAGTATACCATTTTTGTGTAAAAAAAGTTGGAAAATTTGATACCAAAGATGAGATACCTTAGAGTATAAAAAAGTTATGTCGTTTTTAACACATTTAATCTACTGCAGAGCCCTCTATGAACGTTAACCAAAATGTGAAGAGATTTCAATTCCTCTACATAAAGAACTCCAAACCCCAAAATTTTGTGAGGATATTTGCATTTGTTAAGGAATAAATGAAAAAAGACAAATAATATTTTACATTTAACTTGTATCTCTTTAACGATCAACTTTTAGACTAAGGTAAGTTTGACTAAATCGTAATATTTCTGCTTCGGGAATCTACCCATGAATTTTGGCCTATTACCTCGGGACAACCCTGTATATGTTTAATATTCGTTCTATACTTAAGATAGTAACTTTAACCAAATCTATTACCCCACTTTTTTCAGTTAAATATTCTTTATAATGAAATTTATACCTTAATTTTACCTAGAATCTACTAATATTTCAATCGTCGAGTAAAGTCCCTTCTTTTTTGGGGTCTCTGTACGCCACTGTCTATAAAAATTGCCAGAAATGTTTGTCTGAGAAAAATCAAAACTAAATAATTTCATGAATAAAGTAAGGAGTTGAATTTTGTACTTTATGTTAGACAAAAACGTAATTCACTGAATTTTTGATAAGAGAATCCATATATCTCCATATATATTATATACAGAATGTAACTCCAATTCTTTGCCAAATTTTTATATCGGAATCTACGTCAAAAATTAATAAAATACATCCCATATATGTGCGTCTGAAAACAATTCGTTTTCGAGGTTTAATGTGCTCACAATTAAGGAAGAGATAAAATTTATTTCAAGTTGCAAAAAAACAGTAAAAAAAGTCACCAACCAAGTACACATTTTATTTCATTCACGGATAACCTGATTACAGTTTGACCAAATTCGTTTTGTCTGCGATTTTCTGATACGCAAAGGACAATTTCACGATATTTATATTTTTCCATTGCTCTCGACAGTGCTTTGCAATTCTCCCCTATACTAGACTTTTTATAACTTTAACACCCCGTGATGAAAGTTTGGCCAAGCAATTTATTTACGCTCTGTATAAGGCGGGATAGGAGTGACGTGAAGAGGTGTCCACTGCATACGCACTTCACCCTGTACATCATTTATAGCTGCGCATTATCTATATTTAGTTCCAGCCAGCCGATGTTGTGTTGTAGCATTCATTTTGTAATAAATTAATAAACGCATACCACCCTTATGAAAATCCTTGGCACACTTTTGCCGCTTTGTATCGAGCATAACAATCATTATACTAGGCTAGCGTGCGTCGGTAGGGTCTCCCACAACAAAACACACCGTTATTCGGCGGCAACTAATCGAAAATACCAAAGTTGCGTTAGATTTTGGCGGTTGGGAAAAAAAATAAATGGAAAAAGCTAGACGGGTAAGGACCGCATTTCGCAATTACGTGCGAGTCTAATGAAGCCATCCTGCGAGTTATGCAGGAGCTAGATGCAGGCAGGAGAACAGTAAATTATTTCTGCCTGCTAATTGCAGGAATAAAATAGACACGATCAGCAGCTCGACCCGTGTACATGGCGCATACAAACAAAGTAACCTTGAGTGTAGTTTCTCATGGTATAAGCCATAAGCAAAGTAATCGGCCTTCGACGTCGACGTTACAACCGGACTAAGAACACAACTCGCTGGTTGGTGCTACCTAGCAGGACGTAGACTGTAGCCGAGTGTATAATATTATGAGTAAATTAAATAGAAAGCGCTTATATAAAATCAAAGGCTTTACAAAAGCTGAACGCCCGACTCCGTTCACTTTGCAGAACTACAATCCGCATTATTTAAGGCGAGTTTCACCGATGTTTTTGTTTTTTTTTTTAAGCTTTGCCGAGCAGAATTGGAGAAATTTCAGCGCATGTTTCTCGGCTAAGAGAAAAAATTGTGTTTTACTACTTTTCGTTGGGTTTAGATTTACTCTGCTCTATAAATCTGAATTTTTGATAGAGCGTGTTTGTTTCATTTTATTCACTAACCAATACCTAATTAGGTATAAATACTACAAGTCTGAGCTACCTCATTTTTATGTGAAGCGCATATCGTGTCGTGTATCTCGTAGGACAATCCCGGATTTGCATAAATATTCGTTCAGCTGTCGTCTTCTAAAATGTATTTTTAAATTTGATTTATAATATTAATTACTACAACTTTCATTAAGAGCAATTACCTTTTAATTATCATCTGTATTGTTTCATATTTGGCAATTATTGACTTTCATACAAAGTTTTTAAGCAAAAATGTATATCAGTGTACTTTAGATAAGTTAAGTTAAGATACAGGGTGTGCCATGATAAATCATACGTATATAATGTACTGATAAAAATAACCGAAGACTATAGAATTAAAAAAATCAAAACTCAAAATTGTGGATATGCAAAGTGATCCTTTAATTTTCAGCAAACTTTTATTGGCTGTATCTTTTGAACCATATCTGGGAATTTATTTATAACGTCCATATACCACTGAAGACCACATACTCCTGAAACTAGAATTCTAAACTTTCAAGACTGTCTTGACATAAAAGAGGGTTATGATATATTTTTTTCAACTATTCCACTTGCTGAAAGTACATAAACAAATGTGATAGGCCCTAATGGGAACATTTTTAGTTCACTTGGTATATCGGAAAAGTTTCCTCTGTATATTTATACCAAAAACTGTTGAAAAACGATTGGAAGGAATTTAATATGCATTATTTATGCATCAAAGATGAATAGAGCATTCATGGAAACAGGACATTTGCGTCAGTTTTCTCAAAAAGAAAAATAATTGTTAGTTTTATTTAACTCTCACAATCAGTAACAGTACAATAACTTAAACTCCTGTTATTTAATTTAATGAAGATACTGTAACCTATACAGAGAAAACTTTTTCGACTAAACTAATGAATATCAATACCAGTGTATAAAGTTACTGTGTAAAAATTTTAATTATTTTTTATAACTGAAATACGAGAATATTCCTATAAGATAGAGTAAAATGCAACAAAAAAATTCAGTGCATAGTTTTGATTCGTGTATTTTTAATATGCTTTATGGAATAATAGAAAAATATACAATGAGAAACTATAATCAAACTAAGTATTGGTATTTTTAAATTTGTGAAAAATTTTTTTATGAAATTTAAGCTCGCAAATAAATAATAAAGTAATAATTATAAATATATAGATACGACTATTTAACATTCCCCAAGGAACTATATGTACCTCTTTCAATTTCTATTTTTAGTCAAATTATGGAATTATGTAAGAAACACAGAATGTACC